ATCAGACAAATAAATACCTAAACACAAAAGAAAACTAAACAAAAATCCATGAAGCGGTTTAAGAGATTGCTCACTGATTTGGGAGGCAGATGACAGGTGAATCTCTGTGAATTCAAGGTCAGCTTGGTCTTCAAGACATAGTTTCAGAACAGACTCCAAAGGTATAGAGAAAGCCTGTCTCAAAAAAGTTAAAAAGAGATTGCTCAGTGATTAAGAACACCTATGGCTCTTTCAAAGGACCTGAGGTAAGTTCCAAGTATGCATGTTATAAAGCTTACAGTTATTTTTAACTCTAGTACTAGGGTTCCTCAACCTTCTGTCCTCCATGGGGACCAACACTCATGTGTACATACCCACACACAGACACACATGTATTCATAATTAAAAATAAATCATAAAATAAGCAATAACACTAAAGGAAAGCAAAGCTATTTTTTTCAATCTTAGCCAGCTAACCCAATTTGCCTTATAGAAGTAATGATGCAATGCATCATGAAAAAATTACATAATTTAAGAAAGCTTCTTATATGGTAGCCAGGGAACAGAGATTAAGGAGTTCAAGCCAGAAGTCTCAATATTCTTTTCAAGGACATACACAATGACCTCACTTCCTTTCACTATGCCTACTAAATGCTTAGTACTCTGATCAAATCACCAGAAATTAAAAACCAAGACTTCAGCAGGTATGTTTTGCGGGACACAAAAGAAAGTGACTAAACTGTCCTTGAAATTTCCTGCTTCATGGAAATGTCTACTAGATACTATGGGCGTGTAGGCTGAAGATGGTTGCCCCAACGGTACAGAAAAACTTTGGGTGACTGTTGAGGCAGTGAGATGTCTGTGTCATTTCAAGAGTTTGGAAGTTACTTACTTCTTGTTTACATAGGCAATATTATATCCTCCTGGAGTCTTTGATGGAGTTGAAGAATGGATAGATAGTTATAGTTTTCCTTAGTTATGATAAAAGAGAAAATAGATATAAATATTGTAACTGTAATTCTTGCTTGATAACTGTTTTGTTATATGTAATTTTCTATGTTAAAGTTAAAGCCTTTCTTTTTTGTTTAAATAGAAAAAGGGAAAATGCTGTAGGAGAGTCTTCTGTCTATGTGTTACTTTCGTTGGTCAAATAAAGAGACTTTTGAAAGGACAGCTGCTTAGATAGGTGGAGTAGACTTAAAAGAATGCTGGGGGAAAGAAAGCAGAGTCAGGTAGATGCTGTGTCTCTCCTCTCCAAGACAGAAGCTGGTTAGACCCATACAGGTAAGCCATAGTCAAGTGGCAATACAGATTATTAGAAATGGGTTGAATCAATATGTGAGAGTTAGCCAATAAGAGGCTAGAACTTAATGGGCCAGGCAGTGTATAAATGAATACAATTTGTGTGTAATTATTTTAGGTGTAAGCTAGCTGGGTGGGATGGAACAAAGGGTCCACGTTCCTCTTAGGTGGTGTGGTGCATCCTGCTCCTCCTTTTACAACATTTTCCTATATTCCTTGGACAGATGACAGTCACAATTGCAATTGTTTAATTCACTTATTTTCCTCTCAAAAATTCCATGTCTGGAAATTCATCTCTACATTGTTTTCAGATATTGGCATCACATTGTGCTGAAGTAGGATTTGGAGTGATGAACAGCTCTCAGGATTACAGCATGGGGTACAGCAGCTGAATCCTCCTAGTCTGTGCTGTACCTCCTTCTTCCTTGTTGCAGGTCCTCCTGTTAAAAAGAAAACATTTCTCTCCTAATTCTGAGGATTTCTGATTTCTGTTGCTGAGGGATTGTGTGTTTTTTTTTTTCATGTATGTTTTGTGTACCTGTTTTTTTTTTTCAATTTCAGCTTATGGATGTTTTGTAGTGTTGTGTTTCTCTGGAGTAGAGTTGATGATTCTGTGATGTAAAAAGAAAACATATTATTGCCTTGTTATTTTGTTTCACTTTCTTCTAGAGGTCCAGGCCACATTGGACCTGTTGAGTTTCTCCTCCTGTGAATGTATCAACATTATTGTGTGTCACATTTTAGAAAATCTAGCTAAGTTTTTCAGAATATTCTAACTGCTTCAGGCACAAAGCCATAAATTTTCATTGCACAGCTTCTGGGTTTTAGATGTGGAGAGCAGTGGGGAATGCAATTTTTAAAATATTCGTTGTTTTGCATTAGCAATTAGTCATCAATTTGAAAAAGGTAGCAGGGGTACCAGTATCTGATTTGTCTTAAGGTCCCCTTCTTGAGTTGAAACTTAGGAAGAAAGCTGTTAGTCTTTGCAACTAAAATAATTGCCCATTTACATATCTCTACTTTATAAAAATGAAGAACTTCATTTTTTCCTACATTATTTAATACATTTTTAACTGAAGGGATATGGAATTTCAACCTATAGCCAACCTTATTTATTCACATATTTATATATTTTATAATTAATTTCACCATGACATCACATATGTTTGCAACACATTTTGCTCATATTGACCTCCTTTAATACTCTGGACCTCTTCTGTGTCACTCTGTCTTCCTTCTACTTTCACATATCTACTCTAAATTCCATACCTATCTATCTGAGTAATATATTTCACTAGATAAAGTCAGCTCCAGTTTCCACTTCTGTCTTAGTTAGATTATCTATTGATGTGAAGAGACACTATGACCATGGAAACTCTTCTCAAGGAAAACACTTAACAAGGGTGGCATACAGTTTCAGAGGTTTTGTTCACCATCATCA